GAGAAATAAAAAACACAATATTGGGGATTTAATAGCTGTTCCCTTTTTAGAATCTACAAGAGCTGAGCTGTGGCAAGATTTGCAAAGGCAGCATGCTGTGAAGGCACAGTAAGTAGTAGGAACAAGATAAGAATTCAGACTCAGATGACAAACTGTGAGGCTTTGACAATATAATGTAATATCCTGTGACAGGAAAGGTAAAGAATGCCAGTTGACTGGCTTTTACTTCATGACTTTGTGCAATTTAAAAGTGACACAGAGGAAGGTACAGATGTGGTTGAAATAGTCTAGTCATGTACACAGGTTGCATGCATGTGTCACTGAGATCATCTTTCCATAAAAATAACTTGCAAAGATAGTCTAGTCATGTACACAGGTTGCATGCGTCACTGAGATCATCTTTCCATAAATATAACTTGCAAACATATTTGCCTAGATAGAAATGTCATGTGCTTTGGCTCAGAAATTTGCTGTACATGGGTTTTGGAATTGACATTTGCAATCTTTTTGGTAAATGTGCACAATCAGACTAAACCAGGTCACTAAACACTACACAATAGGGCCACTTTATCCATGGGATCAGTACCTGTGATTTCACTTATCTGCTGCCTGAAAATATTAAATTAAAAAACCCTAGAAATACACGTTTCAAGATGTACAGTGGTGCCTCGCATAGCGATCGCTCCGTTTTACGATGAAATCGCTTTGTGATGAACTTTTTGCGATCGCAAAAGCGATCGCTTTGCGATGTTCCCTATGGGGAATTTCCCTTTGCGATGATCGGTTCCTTGCTTTGGGAACTGAGCATCACAAAGCAATGGTTTTTTAACAGCTGATCGGCGGTTTCAAAATGGCCACCCGCTGTTTTCTGGGGCAGATTCCTCATTTAAGAGGCACCGAAAATGGCCGTGCTATGGAAGATCTTCGCTGAACGGTGAGTTTTAAGCCCATAGGAACGCATTAATCACGTTTTAATTCGTTTCTATGGGCTTTTTAATATCGCATTGCGACATTTTTGTTCTGCGATTTTTGAGGAGCGAATTAATGTCGCAATGTGAGGCACCACTGTATTACCAGAATTGGCTATTACTAAGAACCAAATACTATGCAATATATAAACTTTGCTATATCAACAATTTCCAGCACGGGGTGGGGATGGGACTTAGAACCAATCCCCTTTGGATACTGTGGTCCTACTGTAGTTACACTCATCGATCACAACATGAAAACCACCTGCCTAATACTGTTTTGGCCCCCAGAAGTGTACATGGGCTGCAACGATCTCTAGGTAGGTGGTACATGTCAGAGTTACATCTTCATGAATGCCAGGACCCAATGTTCCCCAGCAAAACATTGCCCAGAGCATAACATTGTCTCTGCCTGCCAGTCTTCTTCACCATAGCACATCCTGATGCCATCTCGTCTCTAGGTAAGTAATGTACACACACCCAGCCATCCACCTAATAAAAAAGGCAACCTTCTTCCATTGGTCCATGGTCCAGTTCTGATGCTCACGTTCCCATTGTATTTTTATGTATTTATTTAATTTATATCCCTCTCATTTAGACCGAAGTCTACTCTGAGCGGCTAACAACATTAAAATAAAAAACAACAATATTAATACACTAGAAGATGGTGAAATAAGTTAGATAATCGACAGGAGGGAAGGCCTGTCTGAAGAGTCAGGTCTTAAGTTGGCTCTTAAAAATGCCCAGCAAGGGAGCCAGACAAATTTCTGGGGGAAGATTGTTCCAGAGCTGAGGGGCCACTGCTGAGAAGGCCCACTTTCTTGTTCTTTCTCTTCAGGCCTCCCTCGGCGTTAGACCCCCTCAGGTGCCCTTCCTGGTTAGAACGAATGATATGCGTAGATCTAGATGGGAGAAGGCATTCCGCCAGATATTGAGGTCCTAAACTGTTTAGGGCTTAATATGTCATCATTAATACTTTAAAATCAATGCAGAAACAAACAAGTAGTCAATGCAAGGCTGCCAGAGTGGGGGAGATATATTGATGTTTTCTCACCCCAGTAGGAAGTTTGGCTGCCGCATTCTGCACCATTTGAAGCTTCTGCATCAATCTCAAAGGTAGCCCCACGTAGAGCGCATTACAGTGGTCTAATCTCGAGACTATAAGTGCATGGACCAGAGTGGTGAGGGCCCTGACATCAAGATAGGGACGCAGCTGGGTGATCCGCCAAAGATGGAAGTAGGCGGACGCTATCCGAGTTTCCATGATAAGCGCTGGATCAAGATGTAGCTCCAAGCTGTGAACCTCAGTCTTTGTGGTGAGAGTCACCCCCCCCCCTGAAAGTGAGGGAGTTTCCCAAACCACCAATGTCTGGGCCACCCACCCTCAGGACATCTGTCTTGCCTGGATTCAGCTTCAGTCCATTCTCCTGCATCCATTCCAATATGGCATCCAGACAGCGCTGAAGGGACGGAGTGGCATCCACTGTTGTAGGAAAAAAGGAGATGTAGAGCTGGGTGTCATCAGTGTAGTGATGACACAAAGCCCCACACCCATGATGACCTGACCCAGTGGCCTCATGTAGATATTAAACAGCACTGGGGAGATAATCGAGCCCTGCGGAACCGCACAAGTGAAATTCCACAGAGCCGATACACCGTCACCAAGCTGTACTCTCTGGGGATGGTCCTCCAAGAAGGATCAGAGCCAGGCTAATGCCAGACCACCAATTCCCAGCTCAGAGAGCCTCCCCAGGAGGATACCGTGGTCGACAGTATCAAAGGCGGCTGAGATATCGAGAAGGACCAACAGAGACATTTTGCCCATCGGCCTCGATCAGGAGGGAATCAAACAGCATGACCAATGCTGTTTCTGTACTGTGGCATGGCCTGAAGCCAGACTGAAACGGATCCAGGGCATTGGTTTCATCCAGAAGTGCCTGAAGCTTGTCAGCCACCAACCTCTCTACCACTTTATTAAGGAAACAAACATTGGCGACGGGCCTATAATTGCCAATATCGTCCACCACCAAATTTGGTTTCTTCCTAATGAGCCTAACGAGTGTCTCCTTGAGGAGAGACCCATTAATTATTGCAGTGGCCCATTCGGTTGTTGTAGGCCTGGCTGCTTTGATTAGCCAGGCTGGGCAAGGGTCAAGGAAGGAGATGATGGCCCAACAGTGATCAAGCACCTTGTCCACCATATCTGGTGTCACAGGCTGAAAGAGATTGAGTCTCATTGGGCAAGGTGGCGCGCTGAACGTCTCTGCTCGATCTACTGTGCTCAAAAAAGGAGAGAGCTCCCGGCGGATGGTCTCCACTTTAGATTTAAAAAATGCTGCAAATTGGTGATGATTGAATTGGTTTGAATGCATGGATTACACAGTTAAGACACTACAGTATGTAGCTAGCACACACACATGCATGGATGCATACGCACCTATATCACAGCTGTTTACGTTTCTTTTCATTCATGGGGATCTTTTAAAACTGAGATTTAGAAACACACAGATAATGTCACAGAACCAAGAATAACAGATCAGAATGTCTCTTAAAGCAGAAACTCCTAGAGAGCAGCAGCGGTAGAAGGTGACACTGACAGATCTTTCGCAGACAAAGGCAGTGACACTGAAGCTGTACTTTGCAGAAGACTGCAAAGGCAAACCACTTTTGAATATTTTTGTACCTTGAAAACTCTAGGAAAGGAAAATCCAAAATGAAACAAGATATAGTACCAGAAGAGGAAAAATCCCAGTTCAGAAGGCACTCAATTAGCTACAGGGGAAGAGCAAAGTACAAACTCTGCCTAGCTTTTTGTTCAGGAAAAAAGCTGCCAGCTAGCACTAGGGCAGAAACAGGACATTTAGATGGAGTTACGTCTTTTCTCACAGGTGAGTCACATGTGTTTGTAAGATGTAAATCAGGTAGAACTCCCAGAATGGGGAATTATGGGATTTGTCTTCCAAAAAATCCAAACATCCTATCCCTAATGTCTAGTGGCCAATGTGCATGAAAGCAAGAGAGAAATTTGATACTGTATGACTCATACTATTAGAAGACACAATGTGAGAAAGGAGGGCTATACATGAGATGGAATGACTCAATAAAGGAAGTCATAGTCTTCAGTTTGCAATAATAAGTTTCGGAGGTCACTCTTTCATAGGGTCATTGTAAGTCGGAGGCAACTTAATGGCACATAAAAACAACAGGACAGACGCAGCTGGCAAAGTCGCTGAAAGCATTTAGGTATGCTCTAGCTTAGGATGAATGAAAGCAAACAAACAAGGAAAAGGCACTCTCATTCATTTTCATCTGCCCTTCTAATATAGGATTCAACATGGTGAGGATACAATATCCTCCACTATACCTGAGAGGTGGTGGTTAACTTCAAGAGGCACAAAGAAAACTACATAGAACAGACATCTGTCTTTTCCTCAACCTTCAGCATATGCCACCTGAAACAGCAGCTGTACCCTACTTAATGATAGGCTGGTCCTGTTCCTTCTTGCCCCTTTTGCTCTTACTGGAGGAAACATTTAATACCACCACTACCAGGCTCTTGCCATTTATAAATTCATTTTTGTTGTATCCTGCATACTGACAATACACTGAGACAAACCCCAGAAATTGCGTTATTTTTCCTTTCATATACAGTAATTACCATTTTATGGGGTTTGAAAAAAGAAAAGATGGGTTTGGACTACATAAACTCATCCAGTTCTACACTCCTTGTGGCACTTGTTTACAGCTTAGACTGATAGGCTTCCATATGGGAGAAGGGCAGACTTTTCAGAGTGGATATTTTAGGCCATGGGGAGCTATGCTGATGCTTCCAGACAAAAACAAACAAAAATGTTGTGGCACCTTAAAAACTAATTGTTATATTTCAATGGGAGCTTTTGTGGCAATATTCACAGTCTGAAGAACTGCATCCATGAAAGTCTGCATTGAAATATAACAGCTAGTTAAGGTGGTTTTGGTTTTTTTTTCCCTCTGGATATGCTTGTGCAGGCTAATGTATTTGAAAACTACACGTTGATGCACAAGATATTTATTTTCCTACCAAACACCTCAAATTATATTGGATTCTTTTACCCTAGTCTGGTTCCACACACCTCTGGCTTAATTATTAACTGTAAACTTCAAATAGAAAATACGAGGAAAATTCCAAAACATGTATGCAGTTTCTGATGTAACAAGAAACATGGTGAAACTAAGATGTGTCATTTCAAGCAGCAGAACCACTTCTTACATCCCTTGTTAACTTTAGTTTTGCATAGGTGACAAGTACTATTTATCTACATATCTACAACATTTCAACCAGTATTACTCCCATACTAGGTATTCTACAATATACAGTACACATATTACATTCAAATCCAGAAATAATTCTGAAATGGCACTAGAAATGTAAAAACCTAAATAGGATAGACTGGTAAGAATGACTGTGCATGATACATAGGCTAGTGATAAGTACTGTACATTATTTATACTTTTGAACATGGAACTGTGTGTCCTTTCTCTTGTTAAATAAACAGCAATTTTGTTTTCCTATATTCTCTGCAAGGTACTAGACACAAGAACAAAGAAGAAAACTACAAAGTAGAAAAATAAATTAAAGTTGCTTCATGTTCCTCACAAAAAGTGAGGAATATACTGCTGTATACACTGGAAGTCCAACCAGCAAGAGGCTGGTTCTCTGATGCATAAAAAGGAAATGATCCAATGGCCACAGTAAGAACAGCTAATTAGAAACAATTAGTAGAGCTTGTTAGTTGTGTTGTGACAGATGCTTCAAGATGGTGAACTGAGCCTGCTATAAGCACAGAACTATGACTCAGTACATTTACAGCTACAACGTGAGCAAGAGATATACTCTCATCTACACACATGAACTGCAGTTTAAAGCTGGAAAGGTAAAACAAACTCCTGGTTGAACACTAGATTGCCATAAAATGAAAGGAGGAACTAGACTAATAAAAATGCTAGTCTTGACATCTGAAACATTGTATGTATACACAATTCTGAAACCAAGTGTTATGGACATTTGAACCTGTATTCTGCAGAATATAAATATTTTCTTACAGTGCTAAGAAAGAAAGGTGGCAGTCAGCCACATTCTGCATCAAAAGAATCCATACATTGCTTGCACGAATGGAAGCATTTTAGGCAAAGGAATTTATCTGAAAAGTTTTGATTAGATTTCAGAATAGAAGGAAAACAGCAAGAACCAGCTGCTGTGCTTAATTTATGATGAAGGTCCAACAGAAGAGACTGCTCAGAACCAACATCTATTTAATTTAATTCTTCCCTTGGCAATGGAGATGATTACAGGTACACAGATTAAAAAGAAGAGAGTGAGCGCAAAGGGTATACAAAAGAAAAGTCTGAGCTATACAATCCCAGCTAAATGTGCAAAGACTAGGAGAAAGACTCTGCCCAGCACAATCCAGCCAAAGCTGTACAAATGCAGTTCCTCCGAAACATGCTGGGAACTTGCTGCCCTTACTTTGTGAAAAAGATCTGCAGGTAAAACCAAGCCCTCATTCTGCTACTCTGCCTCTGTTCCCTGATAACAGCAGCAGAGTATATGACCCATGTACAGGCAGGGAGAGCATGCCACAGTCTGTAAGGCTATGAGGTCAGCGCAGAAACTGTTTTGTTGTTTATGTTAAGCACAGCAGAGGAAACAGCTGGAATGTCTCTGGCAACTCTTTGAAAAGGATGCATGTTGGGTCTTTCCAACGTGTCCAGGATACCTGTGAATGAGAAAAGTAAGGGCATGGTTTAATGCTAAGCCCAGGGTATATCTACATCAACATACATGTAATGTAACATAAAACTTAATATAGTGTAACGTAGCCTAGTATAGTTTAATTTAACGTTTTCATAAGTCTCCTGCTATCTCAGCACTACTCTGCACTTGTCCCTTCAGTCTTTATTCATGTTTTTCAATAAATGTCAAATTTGTCCAATGGAACCATGGAGTATTTTGGTTCTGGAATCATAATGTCACTGAGCATTTCACTTATGGCAGATACATACAGAAAGATATTTAGATAAATAGGTGCAAGGGTGTACATTCACCTTAGCCAGTAAAGACTGTGGCTGTGGCTCATGGTGCAGTGGTTAGATTGCTGTACTTCAGCCAAAACTGTGCTCAGGACCCGGGGCTCAATCCCAGGTAGCCGGCTCAAGGTTGACTCAGCCTTCTATCCTTCCAAGGTCAGTAAAATGAGTACCCAGCTCACCGGGGGGGGGGCAATGTGTAGCCTGCATAATGAAGTAGTAAGTGCTTTAAGTGCTATGGGGTGGTATATAAACAGCACACTTCGCTTTTTGCTTTATATATAAATGAAGCCTAGAGGCTGGACAATATAAGACTTCAACTGGTTCAAACTAAGTGGTACATAATTGGATGTGAGAAGTAATCAGAATTGTGACAAAGGGACTGTTATCTCCTTCTTTGGTCAGTATCATCTGTAGACTGCCCAAAATGTTGTCAGTCTAGCTGCACTGGTAAAGGAGGTTCCTGCTTAATCACTATAGAATTCCACATGCCAATACTGTAGTTTCTAGATATACTTCTTATATATGTGTGTGAATGACTTACAAGGTAGGAAAATGGCTGCTTCAATCATAACTGAACTTATTATTAGAATGAGCAGTGTCATATACCTGTACAAGCTGATGACAATATATATACATACTGTATTTTCCTCCTGCAGGAATTACAGTTGTATAGAAAGACAATTGTGTCTAAAGTGGTCTAAAGAAACAGCAAGGTTCAAAACACCATGACATCTCATAAGAAACAGAAGAGGTACCTTAATATTGCCCCCCTTGGGTGATGTTTTAAAAGAAGTGTGAGCAAAGTGGGATCCCTGGTCTGCATATGGCCTGAAGCCCTTATTTGTAGGCGCCTCGGTATTCTAATTTTTTTTTTTAAAAAAAAACAGAATTGCAGCTCACTGGTAAAACACCAGCTTACTTCCATAAGGCTATCAGTACTGAAAGTACTGCCTGTGTTCTATTTTGATTTTGAAATCTAAGCCTCTTCCTCAGGGTTTCTCTTCATTATTTGAACAGCCATTTGCTGCTTTCTACACAATAAACTTAAAGTGCATCATTCTCAAAACTCATTTAAAGTTATTGGGCAGAACTTGTTCATTCTTCCTGCTCACATAGAAGTCTACTTTGGGAACTGCTGAATAGTTTGCAGGTACAGTAATGCAGGAAGGTATTACTGAATACCTTCTAGCAGAGGCTAAAAAAACGGTCCAATCACTTGCTTACTAGACTCTTTGTGAATGTGAGAAACAAACAGGATGCTGCTTGTTATGCAATTAATCAACTGATTCTATAATTAAGTATAAAATCTCAGTGGCTGAGGAAAATGATGAAATGAACTCTAATGAACTACAAGATTTTAAAATACACACTTAAAAAATGTTTATACCACCCATCTGGCCAAAGGCCACTCTGGGTAGTTTACAACATGCACATACACCCTGCCACCTGAGCCACACATTCTTTGGATATCCTGAGAAGGTAGTTGGAAAAGTGGCCTCTGAGCCCACAAAAATTACCCACACTGTTCTAAAAATCAAATTTAGGCACCAAGCCTTTACTCCAACATGGTAAAAAAAAATAGAATAAAACATGCAACTGCCACTACATTCCTCCAAAACGAAAACCTCTTACCTTCTACAACTTTGTGATAAGCAAAGTGCAGATAAAGGAGGAAAAGCATGTGTAGGGCAGCAAGCACACCACATAAGATGAGTCGCTGGGTATGTCCCACTGTGCGCGACACCAACACAGCAACCTTGGAAACATAAGTTACCATCAGAGCAGGGATATGGCATTGGATTTCACAGATAATGTGCACAGTGGGTAACCTGGTTATTGCCTGCTAGTGACAACAGGTAACAAAGAAGCACTATGTGAAATTAGTAAAGACATTTGTGAATCCACACTGATCCTTAAACACTAAATAAGAGTCAGGATATTTCAAATCAGGTTTTTAAAATGCTGTGATAAAGGCTGTAGGTACTCAGTTTAAAAACAGAACATCTTTCTACCCCTGGTTACCACCAACTTCAGCAGAGCCAGACTTTGGTTTTAAATTTAAATAATATTGTCTCTTCCAGAGCTAGCTTTCATATGATTAATGTTCTATACAGTAGAGGTAATAAAGAGGTATGGCTTCTGGTAAGTAATTAAAATACAGTCAACCCTCAACTTACAAACGGCCCCACATACGAACTTTTTGATTTACGAATGGCTCCGTTCGAAAAAATTGGCATCGACTTGCGAATGGAGTCTCGACCTACGAACGAGATCGAGGTTCCATTCGCAAGTCAATGCCATTTTTTGCGAATGGAGCCGTTGGTCGCCTTCGGAGCTCTCAAAGGCTTTCCCCCAACATCGGAGGAAGCCCTTTGAAAGCTCTGAAGGCAAAAAGGCAGGGAGAAAGGACAGGACATTCAAATTTCCTGCCCTTTCTCCCTGCCTTTTCGGTTTTGGAGCTTTCAAGAGGCTTCCTCCAATGTCAGGGGAAAGCCCTTTGAGAGCTCCGAAGCTGCTGATCGCGGCAGCAGGGACCCCCAGGGAGGTCTCCCATGGTGGCTGGAACAGATTAACGGGGTTTCAATGCATTCCTATGGGGAATGGGAAATCGACTTACGGCCTTTTCAACTTACGAATGCTGTTCCAGAACGGATTAAGTTCGTAAGTCAAGGATTGACTGTAACCACAAAATAAAGTTTAATAACATGCAAATAAAATAATGTACTTTGCATGTCAGATATGTGATGCCTGAAGGAGGCATAAAGTGTTTTTAGTAGATACAATGTAATATACGACTGAAAAAAGTTAATGCATGATTTCATTATCTGAAGTGGAAACATGACAGCAACAAAAAAGTAAAAGAAACTGAAAATAAGAACATTAATGTACTCATTCTTACAGATACCTTCTGAACCATTCCTTAAATATGTTATGCCTAGAACCTTCAAAGGGCTATTATTAATTACCATTCGCAATGTAGAGAGACCGCCAATCACCAGCCAGAAGATATAAAAAAGGGAGTGAAAGTGAATGTTGTAGGTGACAAAGAGGGTGATGCAATGCCCAAACAGTCCATACCCCTGAAAGAAACAGAACACACCTGAGACATGCATGAACATATGTGAAAAATTCCAGAGAGAAACAGCAGCAGTATGCTGTTACTGCATGTTTTTAATAACATAGTCTAAAGCTCCTGGGACTGTACATCAATATGCTGGTGCTGAATATCAGAGTTATTTATGGTTATTTTATGTATTTGCCACCTAGATTTGTATAGGTAAATTATTTTCTGCTTCAAAGCTAACTAGAATTGCCTGATTTTATAATCACCTTATGCCTATGATTTTTTTTAAAAAACTAAACTACAACTGTTCTAAGTTGTAGACCCAAATGAAAAAGAGCAAAAAATAAAATAAAATTCTTAACTGAGAATTACGAGAGAAGAATGACAATGGAACCAGTTTCCTCAGGAAGTGGTGAGTGCTCCACTGCATTCAAGAGAAAATTAGACAACCATCTATCACATCTGCTTTGATTTGGATTCCTGCATTGAGCAGGAGGTTGGACTTTATGGTCTTAGAGAACCCTTCCAACTCTATGATTCTATGATCTACACCTGTTGCAGATACAAAGCCATCAGTTATTTGTGAGTAAAGCACCAATGCAATCGACCTACTTACTAGCAGGAGCAGATGTGACTTGTAGTGCAGTGGTTCCCAACCTTGGGTATCTCAGGTGTTCTTAGACTAAACCTCCCAGAAACCCTGGCCAGCTCATCTGGTGGCAAAGGATTCTAGGAACTATATTCCAAGAACATCCAGGTTGCCCAAGATTGAGAATATTAGAGGATGGGCATCTGGTTGGTATGTTTTAGATTTTGCCAGAGAGACTAGTTAGTTGGAGACCTTACTCACCAGCAGTGACAACATTTGAACCATAGTGATCTGAGCATTGCACAAATATGCTAAAAAGTAGATGAAGGAGGAGACTCCTATCCAGTAACCAAAGCAGGTCCCAATAGCTGTTCCCATCAGTGTGCCTTCCCTCTGTGGAAAAAGCAAAAAACCACTTACTCCTGAGCTTGGAGGTTATTTATTTTATTCATATATCACCCTTCTAGTGGACACCATACTCTGGGTGGTTTACAAGTTAAAAACTCAGAACTCCACACAAGCCAATAGTGAAACATCAATTGGCAGATCAATTATGTAGATCTAAAACAAAACAAAGGGGGGTGGGGTGGAGAAGCACAATTTAAACAAAATTAAAATTACAATAGGATTCCCTATCCATGGGACCCATACCTGCAGATTCACTTACCCGCTTCATGAAAATATTTTTAAAAACCTCCAGAAATGTGTATTTACAGTAGGACTGCTGTATCTGTGGGGGATTGGTTTCAAGCTCCCTCCTGCAGCCTGCAGCTGCTGAAAAATGGTATTGAATGCTATACATTGCATGGTCTCTGGTTCCCTCTAGTTCCAGTTCTGGTAAATACACCATGGAAATACATATAAATAGGTATTTCTTTTTTCCCCCCTTTCAATTTAGTATTTTCAGAGGATGGGCTTCCTACTGTATATAAAACAAGGGTATAGTAAATAAATAATAAATAATAGTTGCATCCTCTCTTAAGAACAAGAACAGGATTTTCTATATTGCTTGTTGCAAACACTCAAATGGACCTGAAGTGCTAATGGAACACATTAATAGGGCATCATGCAACATGTTAGAGCTAATGAGAAGTATTTTTCACAAATAACAGAACAAATTACTTTCTCTGAGTAACATTCCAAGCTACAGTCACTTTAGTCAAGTCTCCAGAAAGCATCACTAACACTTTAAAGTAAAACTGTCCCACAACAGAGTTGTTCATAGCATTGCAACATCCAGGTACAGAAACTTAAGAAGCTAGAGAGAACTGTGGCTAGCAATCCATTAGGAAAATGAGATGCCCTACTTACAATGATAGTATCGGATGTCTTCATTCCATGCAGCAAGATGGCCACCAGTGTGAAGACAAGCATAAGGGGACCATAAAGTTCACCAGCTATCTTCTGCAAGAGCAGAAAACAATAATAGTTACTGGTCAATGATCTGGGGTGCCAAATGAATCACTCAGCTGGTTTAAAAAAGATGTCCAAATGCTCGTTCATATTCTTATGTTTGTCACAAAGAATTAATTCCAATGTAGTCAGTGCAAAAGAAACAACTTTTTCAACTTTATAAGGAGCAATTATTATCTATTCCTTTGAAGACACTGGCTTTGAGAGCTCTCAAGTAATGGGAAGTGTGATATGAAATTCCATAGTGCAAGGGTGCACTTTGCTTCGCACACCTTTTTTTACAGAGCAGAAAGCACAGCTTTTGCAACTACTGGGGCAGAAGATCTAAATTGGGGAGTCCCTTGGCCTCTGGAAGTTGATTAGTCTTGATTTACAGTTATAAATAAACAATTCTACAATCTCTAACAGTGCTTTAACCATTCTCCTGCCAGACTAAATCAGAGCAGCTAACTTTCTGACATCAAAATACTGTATTTTTGTGTTTATAAGACAACCCAATGTATAAGACGACCCCCCTTTTCTAACCCCCAAATTAGAAAATTTGCAAGATCACACCCCTTTGGTCCTGAAGCCCTTTCATGGCTGCTTTATCCTGTGGCTTCTCAAAAGGCAGGGAAAGTGGCTGCCTTCCACGTATAAAATGACCCTCAATTTTTTGTCTAATTATTTAAGTAAAAAGTGTCATTTTATACACGGAAAAATACAGTAGCTATATCAGAGTCAATGAGAGTGGCCATCCCTTCCTGGAGAGCCCAAGGCCACTGTGGTATAAAGCAGTTAGCCAACAGCATAAGAAAGGAGCTGACCAAACCCAGGAAGACTTGGCAAGAGATAAAAATATTATTTATTACACTTCCACTTTACGTTTCCATTAAAAGATAGTGCTCAAGATGACTTAGAAAATTTTTAAAAGAACGAAAACAAATAAAATCACGTTGCACTAAAAAAGAATAAAATCATGTAAAGAAGTCTCACTGTGAAACCTTTAAAATCAAGTAAATACATTAAAACCATTAAAATCAAGGATGCAGTTAAAACAACACAACAGGGCTTGTTAGACATCATACAACAATTTAAAAAGATGTGCTTTTACTCCCTTTTTAAAATTAGTCAACGAGGAAACAAACTGTATCTCTGAAGGGAGTGCATTCCGTAGCTGGGAGCCACACAGGAGAAGGCCATCCTATGTGCTTGTTCATTGGGTCTCTGAAACTGTTGCTATATTTAAAAGAACCTCTCCTGAAAAGCATAATATCCAGACAGGCTCATAATGAGATAGGTGATCTCTTAAGATAGCCAGGTCCCAAGACGTATTCCACCAACTCCACTTTTTGGGTACAGCCTGACTGGAACGACTGGAATCACCGGAATCCAGTTGACCCTAGTACCCAATATAGCCAAGTGATCCTACAGGACATTGTTGTTTACGACACAGAAAATCACAGAAAGTTCTAGGAGAACTAAAAAGGTTCCACTCTCTTTATCCAGCCCCTTGTGTAGGTCATCTACCAAGGTGACCAAAGCAATCTCAGTCTCATATCCCAGCTGAAAGCCTGACAGAAGTTGGTCCAGATGATCAGTATCATTCAGGATACTGGATGATAGTGATGGGGGAGTGCAGGACTGCCAGCAGATTTGCCAGTATGAAGCCCATTGTACTTTGGGATTCTTTGGTATAAAATATGAACCCGTAACTATTGAAAGAATGTGAACATTTAGGGCACTGACACAAAATAGCCGCACATGAAATACCTGACCTGCATCTATGACAAAACTGAAGGTGGCTACAGCTGTACCACACCACAGCTAGGAAATGAACTGGAAAGGTCCCTTTTCTTTGGATGCGCCCATCTCCAAAATATCAAACAAAATCTTCTATCCATTATCTCGTACAGAAGCTTACCTGGGGAAAATTAACCATTTTCACAGGTATCATGGATTCAAGTAGTCTGAAAGAGAACAATAGACTGTTCATAGAAGTCAATAAGGAACCAAATCTTTTAGACAGTCCTTTATTGAATGAATCATCGATGTGCCAAAAAGCTAGGACACTGCTGAACAAATGAATGAAGAATGAATGAATGAAATACAATCTGCTACAGAATCAAAACCTGGATGCCAAAGGTTCCATAGCCTGTTACATAATCCACACATAGCTCTACTAAACTGGGCACAAAGCCATACTGGGAAAGGACATTTTTAACTCAGTCCTAATACTGTCTAGCCTGGTAAATTATACAAACATAATTTCTTGTATTTTGCTGTGGTCAGGGCACTAGCCATGGAGCTTACAGGCGCCAGAGAAGCAGCCTAACACGAATTTCTGCTACACAGTCATCATTATAGCGAGGATATATAAATGGAATTCCAATTAAACTCCAAAGGAATCTGCTGAACTAACAGTCCATAGTCCTGTTTTACTTCTGAAACTGCATCAGAAAATCAGAAATGAAATGGCCTGGCATGTTCTAGAAATGAAAACACACTAGAAGAAATACTTAATGAACTCTTACAGAGCTACCTGATTAAAGGTTTACAAATAAAAGGGAAGAATACTGTGATTATAGTTTTTATAACCTGAACACTCTTTATGGATATAACCAGTTACTCCTTCTTAAACATAAAGGTGGCAGATGACTGCTTCCCATAATAAACTGTAACTTGACTATTTATTATGAGCACAGCTATTAATGCAGCTTAAATTAAGTAATTAAGCTGCTGGTATACAAGGAAAATGCTGACTAGATAGTTCAGTGAGTTAGTTACTTGGCTGTAGTTGTGCCAGTGTATCAGGCAAAAACAAAAGAAAAATTTAAAAATGAAGAAGACAAAAACATTGTGGCACCTTAGACTAAATGCTATATTTTAATGTGAACTTTTGTGGACAAGTCTACTTCCTTGTCTTTATTTTTTTAATCTTTCTTTTGGCTGTGGTGGTTAAGAGTTCAAAACCCCACTGAGCATTCCAGAAGAGCGAGCCTGTGTGGCCCTGGCCAAGCTGCACACTCTCCAAATGCTCACAGAAGATCAAAATGGCAAACTACGTCCGAGTACTTTTTACCTAGAAAACCCTGAAAAGGGTCACTAAAAGTTCGAACTGACTTGATGGAACGTGATTATTATTATTTAGACAAGGAAAAGTTGGAGAAGGGACAGAAATAATCTGTCAATTTTGCTTACCTGTTCCGAACTTGGCTTGGCTCCACATCAAAGTAGGGCCTAAGGATATCAATGTTGGCGTAAAGATTGAAGGCCTTGGAAGCTTGTCTTTTTCCTGCCTGCCACATCTAGAGGGGAGATAGAATGAAACAGAGAATGCCTCAAACCTAAGCTTTCACTTCAGGGTGCAGTAGTATTAGATGACTGGTTTATTACAGTGGCTCTAGAACTTCTCCAGAGAGATCAATGTTCAATCTATATTTCTGGATGGAATGAACTGTCTCAATTGTGCACTGAAAGGTTTGTACTACATTAGACAGTCCAGGCTCTAATTTGGGGTACATCATTTTCTGAAAGTACATACCGTATTTTTCACTCCATAAAGGCGCACCTTTCCATAAAACACACCAATTTTTTAGAAGAAAACAGGAAAATATAATCTGTTTTCTTCGCTCCATAAGACGCACAGACTTTCCACCCCCCTGTTTTGTGGGAAAAAAGTGTGTCTTATGGTGCGAAAAATATGGTACATCCTGTCAGGACAGAGGGTCACTTCCAGTGTGAATTTCTTGCTCTGAGTATCAAGCCAGAAATGTTTAAAGAGACTAACTTAAGACCATGCAGGTGCAATGGGACAGCACTGTTTTAGCTTGTCTGACCTGTGGGAGAAAGATGACCACTCTGTTTAGGGTAACTTTGCTGGTGGAGCCCAGAAAGAGACACATCCAGTTCCAAGCCAATGGGTTCAAACTATCTACACAGCCTCAAGCTCTCTGCATAGACTCTGGTTCTAAGAAGGCCAATGGTCCATGTATATTCTACAGATCATAAACTATTAATCTAAGGAAGACAGGCAAAGAGGAAGCATGGAAATATAGTCTTCGAAGGATTACAAGCAGACAAAAGCAACACCAGAGGAATAAACAGTCTTCCAGGCTGTTTCTTGGTGTTCCTCTGCTTTGAGAAAGGGAGCTTGGCTCACCTCATCAGCTACTTGACGACCCAATTGTCCCTTAAAGCCCTTCATTCCCAAGAACTCTCCATCTTCTTCATCTGCAGCAGCTGCTTCTGCATCCACTTCTTCTTCTTCCTTGATACGTTGGTGCATCTCACCCATATCTTCAAAGCTGGAGCCAGATGTGTCATCCATGTTTTCCATGTCTATCACAGCAGAATTTGCACCCTGAACAATTTGGAAATATGCAAACAGCTAAATATACTGCAGAATCATTTCATGTTACTCACAGGGGCTGCCTAAACACCAGAAAGAAGGCTGAAAATATTTTTTTTAATCTTGTGGAGAAATGGCCTGATGTTTTGAAGAATTAAGAAAAAGCACTGTGCCTGATTTTCTTCTTCTAATATTCACCTAATTTACTAAGAATCACCACTCATGAAAAAGTAAGAGGAAAGAGACCTCTTGTTATTTGCTTTCTGCCAATCTCATTGAAAAGTGAAACATCTACAGATAACCAGGAATGATCTGTAACTAAGGAATCTACCTATACATGCAAAATTAAACATAATAATCACAGGAACCTTTTCTTAGGAGCCTCAAGCAGCTGATAATATATACTGGCAATCAAAACAAGTAAAAAAAAACCCATGCACAACCCTCCCCCTTAACAATTCGAGAGCACTGTAACCAACAGAAGATAAGGCTCAAAGAAAAGATTATCTTGTTGCAGTTATCTATGCCCTGGTAACCTTCATATTCAACTACTGCAAAGTGTATATTAATCTGCTTTTGAAGACAACTTGGAAAGTGCAGTTAATACAGCTGCAAGTTTACTAATACGATGGGGTATTGAAGAACATGTCTCGTTAGTGCTGTAACAGCTCCATTGGATTCCAGTCAATTTTAAACCCAGTTCAAAGGACTAATGCTTACTTTGAAAGCCCTACATTGCTAAGTGTCTGGGCATGTAAAGGAATGCTCTCACATTCAACTACTGCATATATTATATTAATCTGCTTTTGAAGACAACTTGGAAAGTGCAGTTAATACAGCTGCAAGTTTACTAGTACGATGGGGTATTAAGGAATATGTCTTGTTAGTGATGTAACACCTCCATTGCATTCCAGTCAATTTTAAAGCCCAGTTCAAAGGACTAATGCTTACTTTTAAAGCCCCACATTGCTAAGTGTCTGGGTATGTAAAAGAATGCTCTCACCTCACTTGTCTATACTCTTAATCTATGGAAACACTTCTTCAGGTTCCCATAGAGTTTGGGATGAGGTGGCTGGTGACCAAGGGATGATAAACTTCTCAAATGTGATGATGCCACATCTCAAGCTAACTCTGCCCTCACTTTGGCATTTTCCAACACCAAACAAGTATATTTTTATTTCCCTAGACTTTTAAACTTCCAGCTGTTGAAATCCAGTAGTAAATCGCAATTAGAGTAGTTCAACTAAATCATTTGGGATCTGGTGAGTCAAATCTTTGTTAAGTTCCATTGACTCAATGGGCCTTATAATGTTATATAACAGACCTTATGTTACAATATTCAGACATTATATATGTTCTGTTGCCCTCACTTTGGCATTTTCCAACACCAAACAAGTATATTTTTATTTCCCTAGACTTTTAAACTTCCAGCTGTTGAAATCCAGTAGTAAATTGCACCTAGAGTAGCTCAACTAAATCAGTTGGGATTTGGTGAGTCAAATCTTTGCTAAGTTCCATTGATTCAATAGGCTTTATAATGTTATATAACAGGCCTTATAATGTTACAATGTTCAGCCATTATATATGTTCTATAATCATAAAATAAAAAATCATAGAAAAGTGAAGTTGGAAGGGCCATCAAGTCCAACCTCCTGCTCAATGCAGAAATACAATCAAAGCATAACTGTCAGGTAATTATCTACATTTTTCTTGAATGCCTCCAGTGCTGGAGCACTCACCAAATCTCAAGATAACTGGTTCCACTGTCATACTGCTCTAACCATTAGGAAGTTTTTCCTAATATTGAACTGATAACTGGCTTCCTTTAACTTGAGCCTGTTGTTGCTCTGGGATGATCAAGAACAGATCTTGCCCCTCCTCTGTATGACAGCCTTTCAAATATTTGAAAAGTGCTATCATGTCACCCCTCAGTCTTCTTTTCTGAAGGCTAATTCTTTCAGCCTTTAGTCATAAGGCTTGGTTTCCAGCTTTAACCATTAGGAAGTTTTTCCTAATATTGAACTGATAACTGGCTTCCTTTAACTTGAGCCTGTTGTTGCTCTGGGATGATCAAGAACAGATCTTGCCCCTCCTCTGTATGACAGCCTTTCAAATATATGAAAAGTGCTATCATGTCACCCCTCAGTCTTCTTTTCTGAATGCTAAACATGCCCAATTGTTTCAGCCTTTAGTCGTAAGGCTTGGTTTCCAGCCCCCTGATCATCCTTGTCACTCTCCTCTGAACTTGTTCCAATTTGTTATCCTTCTTGAAGTGTGGTGTCCAGAACTGGACGCAATACTCAAGTTGAGGCTTAACCAGTGCTGAAGAGAGGGGGCTTGCAG